GGGGGGGGGACTCGGTCTGAGATGGAAAGCTATAAATTTTCGACAGGTAAAGGGGAGGGACAACTGAATAAGCGAAGATCTTGAGACTCATGATAGGATAATAAGTGAAAATGGCACGCCTCATGGCACTATGCATTGTGATAGGCCATCAAGGTTAACCACTCTTTGCTCGCCATATTTCATAAACCCACCAAGGGGTCACGTCAGTTAATTTTATGGAGGAGGGAGACCATTTTACAGAATGTGAGCCTTAGCATGAGTCACCATAGATTCGTCCCTGGGATCGTCGGTTAAGATCCCGGTTCGCCTACGATGCGCATTTCTTTGCTCCCGAACACCGGGATCTTAGGCGGACACTACTGTATTGGACACATCGCCAAGGCCCGTGTTGTGAGGCGATTGAGTTTGAATTTTCGTTTTTGGAGTTTCAGTGGGTCCCCGGCTCGCGTCTTCCCAGCTGCCACCTTACTCCGGCGTCGTACAACATTTTCCCTAATGTTGCATTACAGGCTGGGGGCTGTTTCAATACTGACTGTGGGCTGCATTAAAAATGTATTACGCATTTTATAGATAAAAATTCAAAGGAAAAACTAAAAAAGAGCTTTAAAATTTGTAACAGGTAAAGACAATTTCCCCATGGCTTCGATGAAGTGACGTCGACAGACTTTTCCTGTTGAATACTGGAGTTTAAGGAAGGTGATTTGTTCTTTCTCTTTTATTGTGTAGTCAGTTTTCTTGGATTTTCATTTGACTGGAGCTTGAAAGGGCTCTGAGAGTGAGAAAACGACCGCCAAAGTTAGGTAACTTCAATAGCTTGAGAGCCTTTAAAACTGAAAAATTACAAATTTTGTGCATGTAATGAACGTTTTCCAGTATGGACGTAAAAGGTGTTTAGCGCGAAAAAAAAATTCAATAAAAGTTCCCAAACCTGCAGAAAAGTGCCAGTTTTTTTCACTTTCATTATTTTGACGAGCGCCTGATTTCACCACGCTGCCTCACAATTAGAGTAAATCATTCAAGGAAAATATTGCATACACACTTTTTCTTACTAGTAAAAAGGAAATGAGACTCATGTCTAATACAAAAGCGCTTTAATTATTTTTTTTTTAAAGTTACAGTGGAATTCTGATAAAGTCAACTCCCCGGACAGAAAAAAAGTGTTGACTTTGAGCAAGGTTGACTTTATCCATTGTACTACTGGCCATTGAAAATTGAAGATGACAGCTACAAAATTACAAAATACCTGGTAATAAACAAGATGTAATCTCAATTTCAGGGAGTATAATTCTGAAGTTGTCACCAAAACAAGAGATAATGAAAGAACAAAGTACATATGTAATTGGAGGTTTGTACACCACTTGCTCTGGCGAAATATCTCTTCTTGAAAGCTTTCATCTTGGGATTTAGCCCCAAATTGTTGACTTTACGAAAGGTTAACTCTCAAGCGGTTGACTGTATCAGAAACACAATTACTTAAACTTAAACAAAGAAGGTAAGAAACGGAGCCTGGCCAGGGGGCTAATTAATATTATAAAAGAAATTGATGATAGTCTAGCAAAAGTATCGATTTTATCTCTACAAGAGGCTGCCTGGAAGGGGAGGGGGGCATAAGTGAGGGAGACCTATTACAGCCGTAACAACAGCAGTAATAACATGGTAATACGCA